GTCATCTCATTAGGAGCATGCCCCGACATTGTCAGGCATGCATGCACACACGTGGGGGCCATACAAATTACTGAATACCATTTTGAGTTGCGGCAATGAAATTTCAGCAAAATGGACTAGCCTGCCGCATCATTTTTTCACTGTAATTTTTGGGGTTTCTTTGAATTCAGCCCTCTGCTCTGTAGGTTGATAATTTTCATTTCCATCAAATGATGTGGCATCCTTTGTTCCTAACACATCATCCAGTCCATATCAGTATAATTAAACAGCATAATTTTTTTCCCCCATTGAGATCTGATGTGCTTTCAAAGTGTTCCTTTAATTTCTTTGAGCAGTGTATGTCTGTTCTTTGCTTCAGGTCATGAGAGATAAGAATGAGTTCACACAGCCTCCTTCATGGCATGAAGCCAATGACCATTGTTTTGAGGAGATCCAGCTGGCCAGTGAAAGATATATTAACAAACAGGGAATGGCTTTGATGAACTCAAGATGTTTTTTCCTCCAAATGTTCGTGTGTGAGAAAGTTCTTTATGTAGGGGTGGGATAGTTCCAAGGGACTGTGTGTGTTGGGATTTTGTAAGGTATAAATGTATGTTTTTTCAAGGCTACACTTTCAAAAATGAAATTGTCTAGAGCTATTTTAAACAAAATTTTATTTTGTATACACTTGTGTTTACAAAACGAACCTGAGGACAAAACCATCTGAGGACGTTAAATAAATTTGAACATTCTCTTGCAAGAGTCTCAGCTACCTCCTCAACTTCACAAACGTCACCCTGGAAAATGTGCCTAGTTCATAATGTTTCTATTAGCCAAATCAAGTTATCTTATCAAAGGCCATAGTGACAAGTTTTAACTAAAGTAACCTTTTTTAAAAGTTAAACATCCACTGAATGTCTTGAGTAGCATAGAAGAAAAGTATGGGCCGGATCTATCAAAGGTTTGCGTGTATAAAAACGTGAGCTATTTCACTGCACACGCTAAAAAATGTACAAACTGATCTATCAACAGCGTGCTAAAAGNTAGCTTCAGGACTGAATACAAATGTAGTAAAACCTCTTTAGACTATGAACGATAGTATTTAAAGCTCAGAAATGTTCTCTAGTTTGCATCTGTATACGAAAATGATTAAAATAAATGACAATATTGTGAGAAAATGTGGAAAAAGTTAAATGACTATTTTAGTTCAGGCAACCAAAATACGGAAAAAAACGGATATGAACTGAAATTCTTGGAGATCCATACTAGCTGTGGAAACAACAACACACTTGTTACTCTCTTTTACATAATGTTCTGTAACACATTATTTTGGGATAACGCATTTCTAAGATCATGCTAATTAATGGCTTAAATACAAAAACAATCCCAAAATGGACATCTGTCATATCATTCCATAAGAAACATTTGCATTTTTTTCTGCCTGTCTAATGTACAGGACATCACTCCTCAACGCTCTGCTGCACACTGTTAGTCAGCTGGCTCAAGATAGCATGTTTTCTTTAACGTGTGGAGTAAAAAATATTGAGATGTACTGCTCAAAATATTAAAGGAACACTTCGTAATCAGAGTATAGCATCAAGTAAATTAAACTTCTGGGATATTTATTTGGTTAGGTAAGTAGCAGAGGGGGTTGCTAATCAGTTTCAGCTGCTTAGTTAATATACCCTACAGAGGTTGCACAGACAGTCCAACTCCTCCAGGATGGCACCATAATACGTGCCATTGCCAGAAGGTTTGCTGTATCTCCCAGCACAATCTCAAGAGCATGGAGGAGTTTCCAGGAGACAGGCAGTTACTCCAGGAGAGCTGGACAGGGCCGTAGAAGGTCTACAACTCATCAAAAGGACCGGTATCTGCTCCTTAGTGCATGGAGGAGCAGGAGGAGCACTGCCAGAGTCCTATAAAATGACCTCCAGCAGGCCACTGGTGTGACTGTCTCTGACCAAAAATTCAAAAACAGACTTCACTAGGGTGGCCTGAGGGCAAGACGTCCTCTAGTGGGCCCTGTGCTCACTGACCCGCACCGCGGAGCTCGATTGGCATTTGCCACAGAACACATTTGCAAGTCTGCCACTGGCGCCCTGCTAGAAGCCTTGGAGAAGGTTATGCTGCCTGTAACATGGCTCAGCATGACCAGTGTGGTGGTGGGTCAGTGATGGTCTGGGGAGCATATTCATGGAGGGGGCACAGACCTATACAAGCTAGACAACAGCACCCTGACTGCCATTAGGTATTGGGATGAAATTCTTGCACCCACTGTCAGACCCTATGCTGGTGCAGTGGGTCCTGGGTTCGTCCTGGTGCACGACAATGCCCGTTCTCATGTGACGACGGTATGCAGACAGTTCCTGGAGAATAAAGGAATTGATACCATTGATTGGCCCCCACGCTCGCTTGACCTAAATCCAATAGAACACCTCTGGGACATTATGTTTCGATCCATCCGACGCCGCC